CAGACTTATGTATTTCATAATTTATAACAATATGATATTTAATAAATCATAATAAATTATTTAATATTATTGTAATTTAATATTGCTATAATATTTTTTACCAATATATTTGACTTACTACTCATAAAGATATATGCTTAACGTGTATAAAGGTTTGTGAATGCTTCTAATCCTGTAAAAGCTCAAGAAGATTTTATTATTTATTTTACAATCTGCTTGGTAGTGCTGTGTAGCAGTGGAGTATAGCTTTTAGTTTTTGTGTGCACTAAAAGCAGCGATAAAAATAAAAGTAGATTACGCTATGAAACACTTTTTAAGGGTAATTCTGAGTTACAAAGCTTGGGATATAACGTTTTTATTTATATTATGTACTAACGCTTTTGAACACGAATATGTATTTTCGAATGATTTTTTTGTAGTTTTGATTTAATTTCGTATCCTTATTAACAGATTTTTGCGTCATTTTTTTATATTTTCATATTTATTTAATTTTAATATAAAGTAATTTTGCCTGAATGTTTGCTCCAAACGCACCAAATCTATGTTTTTTTTCGAATGTTTTTCAATTTTAAATTTCGTTTCAAGTTTTCGCGGGTGAGATCAAGTAATTATTACTTGCATTTACATTATCGTAGGTAATATTTGAACCGGCTTGAATTATTTTCGTTGTGTACCAGATTCCTTGAATCATCCCATTCGACAATGGGAGCGTCGCCGTATTGCGGCCGTAGTAATACTCTGTAGTACTACTAGCGCGATCTGTAGCGTACTACGTGACATCCTCTACTATGAATTACATTGTATGTGTACTACGTTTGCTATGTGTGTACATTTGCAACGTGTTTACATCGTATGTATGTATTTATGTGAACAGTTGTATGTACCAAACTTGGAAACAGAATGGTTGTGCATTCCAATGCGCCTGTGTACGTGGCGATCATATACAAATGCATTTTGCAACCGAGAGATATGAGCTTTCTTGTGTGCGTTTGACTGAATTGGCGCCAATGGAAATGCGCGCGCACTGCACAATTTTGGCGCGATTCGCTTCATTTCCTTTTTTATTCAAAAGACGCATACTGAACACGTGGATGAGTAGATCGAGATTGCTATTCCAGATTTATAATCACATCACACTTGTAAAACTTATAAAAACTATTTTATGTTTCATTTAACATATCTAGCCACACACTGTTTAACTGAAAGTATTTTATTTTTATATAAACAAAATTATCCTCAAATTCTTAACCAACGTTCTTTTAACATCAACTCGCATTATTTTCATAATGTAAATTCATACTAATATCCTTTAACTAAATTAATAAAGATACTGATTTAATACATCAATAAAATAATTAATTACCCTATTTTTTTATTTTCATTTCAATTTAATTTAGTGCTAATAAAATAAAATTCTGCCCTTAAAATCTTACATTGAACTTTAACATTTGTATTTTATCATATGAAAATGTTAATTTAATTTCATTGAAAGATTGATATAAAAATTCTAAACCAGTTTATTACATATATTTATCATGAAGGGCAATTACAGTACCTCGTGTGTTCAATCAATCATATAGAAATTACACACTGAAATTACAATTACAAGGGTTTACGTTTGGATACATATGAGGACATATCTGATAATACGTTTAAATACAGATATGACTAACAATAAAGTAATCAATAATTTAACATTCTCGTCTCACATGAACTAACTGGCCATGTGCTAGTTGTTGGAGCCTGCTATTATCATATTAGATGACTAGGTATTTACAACTGTTTTATAAACATATCTTACATGGTATTTAGGTATAATATTACATTATACACGGGAGATTTGGCTTTCAGGTTTATTTAAAAAGTATGTTTAAATATAGAACACTTGATCCTATGCCCTATCTAGTGATTATTAATAACCTATGTTATCTTAGGCAGTAATTTTCCAAACCGAACCTAATTTTAAAGTCATATGACGGGTAATAAAATCCTACATGTGTTTTTATAAATGCTATTTCAAGACCTACGATAGACCCGCTGATTGCCTGTAAACCATGACCTGTCTAACATAAACATAGTTTGCTTCGAACGTTTCATGTTTGTGATGCTTTCGAGTCCTAGGCTGCCGCAACTGATACAGCGTCGCACATATTCGGCCTACCTATACGTGTAAAATAGAAAATTAATAACGATAAATAAAAATAGCCCTGACGGTATTCGCTAGATTAAAACTCATTTAAATATACTATATTCTCAACATGTTTCTATGCTATGCCCATTTCCTTTTTCTTTAGGTTTTAAAAAAATTAAAGTCCTAAACGTGGCTGGACCGCGAGGAATCACTAATGATGACTTCATTGGCATACATTTTTTTCTACAAATGGTTCAAAAATTACCTAGAGTTTTTATTAAATCCGGGTTTTTGTATACTCCTTCACTGATTATTAATATAATGCAAATATAAAAACTATTTTTTAAACAATTTTATAATAAATATTGTAATTAATTTTCAAAACTCAAGCATGACCGCATTCTATGCGAAGTTCCTGTGTTAAGTTTCTATTGTGTTTAGTAATTCAGGTGTATTGTGTAATTTCTTGTAATTTTTTAAAGTTTGTTGCAACTCACACAATCTTATAGCGATGGTGTCAATAAACGGCCTTTGTATTATTGTGAAATTTGCAGGGTTTTCCAAATTATAGAAAAAAATAATAGCAATGATTAAGGGTTTATATACAATTTTCATTATTCGTCGCCTTGTGATTGTATCTATTTACTTACAGTGTGTATTTTATCATCGTACGTTTCTGAGTGAATGTACAATATCAATATGCCTATCTCTAAATTACTAACATCGACAGGTTTCGCATAATATGCAAAGTCTCCCACACTTTGATCAGCAGGTTGTGCATTTGTTTCACGGGAAGGAATCTCGGGAATGTTGTCATCGTGGTTTCCCGTCCTCGGCCACTCATTCCGCTGCCATCGAGTTGCAGCCGTTAAGTGCGCAATCTTAGGAAATTATTTTTTGTACCATGGCTCAAGGATGGCTCGTTGTTCGCGAAATGCTTAGACTAAAAAATTGCATTCCTTATCGTATTTTATTTATTTTGCATATGCTACGATATTTGATTAAAAAAGTCTTGATTAAAATTACATTTATAGAAAAAGTGAAACCAAAAAGCTTCTAAATAATTCATTCAGTTTGCTTCCACAATGATTCATCACAAAAAATTGCTTAATAATCACTCCTTTTAAGAAGTTACATTTATCAATTTTTATTATCATTTCATGTAGTTAAATGAACTCTTTCCTGTCAACATCATAATAATGAATATTTGCATAATAGATGTTTCTCAATAAGATTGTACAACTTTAAAAATGCTTGTAGACTGAATTCTTTATTCTGTTAATCTGAGTTGTTGACTCGAGTGTTATATGACATATTGCACATGGATTTGTGGAAAATTTTGTTGAGGTTTGTTAATTTGTTTTTGCTTATATACATTCTTTATGGTGAAACTACGGGCGCAGTCTAAGTTCTCCCATGCAGGGGGAAAAATATATTGTTTAACAGATGAATAAGATACACATATAATAATACGATAAATATATAGCATACGGAACTAGTATTTGTTTGTCCACTATATTACGACTGATTTTTTATATTAAATAATAGTAATATATCTTACTACTGAGCTTATTACTATCACAATAATGCTTCTATACAATCTATAATGATTATACGAATCTAATAAAATATCGATGTCTCATATTGCTTCAAATATTATGGCTTATTGTGCATTTTTATATCCCGGCTTTTATTATCATGGTATCGATATTATTATTGCCGCGTAAAAATCTGCGTGTTTTATGATTTCTCAACATTGTACTACAATGGATAGTAAAATGCTGTCTAGAATTGAGAACGCATTAAAAAACCATGGAAACCAACGAAAATTATTTTTTTTTAATAAATTTCCTGAATCTTTTTGTCGTTACATAACTTTTTTTTAATTTTTTTTCGTTGAACATAACCGTATGTACATACATTACAATTGTTTGGATTTTTAGTCGTTTTGTATATTTCGTTTGGTTCTCCTTTCGACGATGCACCTGCCGTTTAAAGAGTCCCCCGGTGTTCGCAACGCACAAATTCTTCTGTCACAATTCGCAAGCGATTTCTTCTTGTCTCTCCACTTTTTTATTTTATTTCTTTGCGCAAGTTTCTTGAACAGATGTTATTCTTATCCTTGGCGACAGATGTTCTCTTAACGTTGCGTGTGCATTTAAAAATTGCGTCTTTACTTCATTGCAAGAAGAGAAATCTTGAAATTTATCTTTCATTATTATTGTGTTGATTCTAAAGAGTCCATTTAGGTCTATGAAATTCATAATGAATAACAGATAAATGAGTTTAATAATATGATTTCAAGATATTGATTTCGAATATGTAAAGTTATATTTAAAGTATATTTATTTATAAATAATATTTCTAATTGCAGGCCGCGATTCTGCAACAGACTGCTGAATATATTTACTCCTGGAACAAGAAAAACCCGTTTGCTATCACAGAACTGCCAACTAAAACGCCTGGTCAACCAGCATGAGGGAGGTGATCTACCAGCCAAGAAGCGTCGCATGCACATCCTGTCTCATCATCAGAGTGCCAATCAACAAAATGGAATTGATGACACAGAAACCACACTTTTAGGATTATCATCCCCCGAACCTGAAGAGGTGCGAGCACAACTGGAGCAGGAAAGAAGGATGCGGGCGGTGCTCGAAGATCGTGTACGGGAGCTCGAAGCACGCGTTTATTCTACACTTCAACAAGGCACTGCTCCACAGACTGGTGGCTATATACATAGAGTCGACGTCATTGAACACACCAATAATGTAACGATGCAAGAGCCAAAAACAGTCCAGAGACTTGAAGACGAAATGATTTTGGTACCGGCAGAGAGCCTGCCTCAGGTTGCACTTACACAGAGCTGTTGTCACATTACCAATGAGGTCGCCCAGCCCTACAACGTGCATTGTGAAGGTAATAATAGAAATTTAACTCACTATATATTTTTTTATTATTCCCTTTGCAAGTCATAATTTGGAAAAGGTTAACCAATGTTTTTATTGGATGTTCTTGATATTTGCAATTTATATATGTTATTTATTTCTTTTTTCGCTACTTTTAGGAAGAACCACGACCACCCACACCAATTTTACACGATCATATACTGACAGAAGCAGTCAATGTAAGTATCAAAGCTGAGAAAATAGCTGAAAACCAAACAATAATGACCTTATCGGCACCGTTGTCGATGAGTTGTACCGATGACGATATCATTGAAGAGGATAAAAATTCGAGTGCGACATCTCAGCAAACGCGACCATACCTCTCCGGAAATAAGACACGACAGAATCTTGAAACAATTGTAGAAGCTATCCGTCATTTAGAAGGTGATCACATGTTTGATGATAGATCACTGCTAACTCATACGACGTCTGTGCCAGCTATACCGACACAAGATGCCCCCTTGGCACTTACTACTACGCCAAAACAACATCCAACGCATTTGATTTTGCGACCGAATATTAGCACGAGTTCAATCGCCACAGGTAATACCACATATGCACATTTTCAAAGACAGCAGCAGTGTCGACCCGGTGTTATAGTCGTCAAACAGCAATCGTGATTTGTTTAAATAGAATTCGCAACTAAGATAAATTATATTTACCTGCTTAAATGTAGTCTTGATCAATTATCATAAAAATGAACTGATATACATACATATAAATATTTAGAAGACTACACGTCATTAT